ATTGTTTCAGCTACACATTTTTTTTTAAACTTTTATTTAATGAATATAAATTTCCAAAGTACAGCTTATGGATTACAATGGCTTCCCCCCCACCACAACTTCCCTCCCACCCGCAACCCTCCCCTTTCTCACTCTCTCTCCCATTCCATTCACATCAAGATTCATTTTCAATTCTCTTTATATACAGAAGACCAGTTTAGTATATATTAAGTAAAGATTTCATCAGTTTGCACCCACATAGAAACACAAAGTGAAAAATACTGTTTGAGTACTAGTTATAGCATTAAATCACAATGTACAGCACATTAAGGACAGAGATCCTACATGAGGAGTAAGTGCACAGTGACTCCTGTTGTTGACTTAACAAATTGACACACTTGTTTATGGCATCAGTAATCACCCTAGGCTCTTGTCATGAGTTGCCAAGGCTATGGAAGCCTTTTGAGTTTGCCAACTCTGATCTTATTTAGACAAGGTCATAGTCAAAGTGGAAGTTCTCTCCTCCCTTCAGAGAAAGGTACCTCCTTCTTTGATGACCTGTTCTTTCCACTGGGATCTCACTCGTGGAGATCTTTCATTTAGGTTTTGGCCAGAGTGTCTTGGCTTTCCATGCCTGAAATACTCTCATGGGCTTTTCAGCAGGATCTGAATGCCTTAAGGGCTGATTCTGAGGCCAGAGTTCAGCTACACATTTAATAATAAGGCATGATACATCAAAAGTGTCTGATATTGTGGGGCTAAACTTATTTTTTGTTAAAAAAATTGCTTAAGTGATATTTTTGATTTTTGTCAGAGAACTTCTATCTTGATTTCATAGCTGGAAAGATTCCTAAGCAGGCCACAACAGCATTGTAGAGAAAGAGAGAAAACCTTAATTATAGTGCTCAGTACTCTGTGGAAAAACATAGGAAGGATGTATTTTGTCACATACAGACTCTTGTAATCATTTCTCTGTCGCTTACTGCACACGTAAGCTTATGTAATTAATTGTAATTAATTTGATTTGCACAGGACAAATGTACCATTTCTGGGTCTTACATCTCTGAACTCCATCCTGCCAATCTTTTTGGGACTATATTGAAGAGAATAACACAGCTCCCATACAGTCCCAGTAGATGCCCAGTTTTTGACAGCACTGTTTTTCCCCAGGGGTTCTCCATGAAAGCTGCAGCATGTGAAGAAGGAGCAATGGTCTCATGGGAGTACAGGTCCTGGCTAATCCCTCCCTCAGAAGCTTCCCACTTCCCATCAGTGTCAACTTGTACTTCCAATTCTCAGATATTTACATCTAGGTATATTTTGGATACATTTCAAATGCAATACAACTCAAATGAAACTCATTGCTTTTCTTCAGTTTGCTTCTTTTTTTATTTTATTATCATTATTTTATTTGACAGATAGTTAGGGAGAGAGACAGAGAGAAAGGTCTTCCTTCCGTTGGTTCACCACACAAATGGCCGCTATGGCCGAGCTATGCCGATCAGAAGCCAGGAGCCAGGTGCTTCCTCCTGGTCTCCCACATGGGTGCAGGTGCCCAAGCACTTGGGCCATCCTCCACTGCTTTCCCGGGCCACAGCAGAGAGCTGGACTGGAAGAGGAGCAACCGGGACTAGAACCGGCACCCATATTGGATGCTGGCACAGCAGGCGGAGGATTAACCAAGTGAGCCAGGGAGTCAGCCCCAAGTTTGCTTCTTTTTCTAATTAAGAACATCATAATTTAGCCAATCTATCCATTTAAGTCTCCCAAACTAGACACTTGGGAATTATTCTTAACATTCCATTTTCCTCATCTCTCATCTCCATACGTCCTAGAAGTTTTGCTAGAGGACCCTGGAATATTCACTGCCACTAATTTCCACCAATACTGACACAAATGCTCTTCACTAAACTTCCTGCCAACAGTCTCTTCCCCCCCACATCTCTGGCCCTTCTTATTTCCCTCAGGCATCCTGCACATTCCTTCTTCTGTCTTTCTAAATACATATATAATCACATCAATGCACCCTTTAAAAACCTTAGTTTCTCCCTGGGGCCTACAAAAATCTACAGCTTTGAACGCCAATTTTCACACACTTCCTGCTTCTATTTAGTCAACCTTTCTTTGATATGTAGTCTCTTCTGATCTGTGAAAAAGCCTACTTTGTCTTTAAGCACTCTTCTTTTCCGGCATTCTCTGCTTATCTAAATCCTCTTCACAACAATAGCACTAAATTTATTGCATGCTACTAACGGATAGGCACTATGCTAAGCACTTTAATAGTGTTATAAGCACTCTTTTACACAGAGGAAACTGAAACAAGTCATTTGCCCAAGATTACATTTTAAGTAAGCAGCAAAACTGGGATTACTATTCCGGTCTATCTCAATGCATGAATTAAACATTTAAATTCCGCCTCTTACCTTTCTCTGAAGGGAGGAGAGAACTTCCATTCTATCACCTTGTCTAAATATAATCAGAGTTGGCAAACTCAAAAGGCTTCCATAGCCTTGGCACCTAACTCATGACAAGAGCTTAGGGTGATTACTGATGCCACAAACAAGAGTGTCAATTTGTTAAGTCAACAACAGGAGTCACTGTGCACTTACTCCTCATGTAGGATCTCTGTCCTTAATGTGCTGTACATAGTGATTTAATGCTTAACTAGCACTCAAACAGTATTTTTCACTTTGTGTTTCTATGTGGGTGCAAACTGTTGAAATCTTTACTTAATATATGCTAAACTGATCTTCTGTATATAAAGAGAATTGAAAATGAATCTTGATGTGAATGGAAGGGGAGAGGGAGCGGGAAAGGGGAGGGTTGCGGGTGGGAGGGAAGTTGTGGGGGGAAGCCATTGTAATCCATAAGCTGTACTTTGGAAATTTATATTCATTAAATAAAAGTAAAAAAAATTCTGCCTCTGACTATGATATACCCTCTAACTGAGGTCAAACCATACACTTAGCCTTCAGCTCTGAGATATTCTAGTCTTCCTTCATCTTTAATCAACGTTTTAACCAACACAGTACTTTTAGTGTTGCTATTCATTAATGTTTTTAATTGTGCTAATCTTTAAAATTTAAAGAACTCATTTACTTAGAGAGAGATTGATTTCCCATCTCTGGTTCACTCCCAAAATGCCCGTAACAGCCTGAGCTGGCAGAGGCCTATTTCAGAAGCAGGAAGTTCCGCCCGGTCCGGTGGCTCACGTGGTCGCTGCCGCACACTCACATTTGAGCGATCAAGACTGCCTCCTCGGATGCAGGAAGCGGTAATGAGGGGCAAAGCAGGGCTAGCATCCAGGCAAAACCTTAGACCAAACTCCCGCCCCCATTTTTGATAAAGCTTTTCGTAACTATATTTTGAATTATTTGTGAGCAGGGAATTAAAAAAAGAAATCCTAAAATAACTCCATGAGGGCCGGCGCCACGCTCACTTGGCTAATCCTCCGCCTGCCACGCGGGCACCCCAGGTTCTAGTCCCGGTTGGGGTGCTGGATTCTGTCCCGGTTGCTCCTTTTCCAGGCCAGCTCTCTGCTGTGGCCTGGGAGTGCAGTGGAGGATGGCCTGGGTGCTTGGGCCCTGCACCCGCATGGGAGACCAGGAGAAGCACCTGGCTCCTGGCTTCGGATCGGCGCAGCGAGCAGGCCAAGCGACCATTTGTGTGGTGAACCAACGGAAGGAACCTTTCTCTCTGTCTCTCTGTCTAACTCTGCCTGTCAAAAGGAAAAAAAAAAAAAAGAAAGAAAGAAAGAAAGAAAAAAACTCTATGAGGGCATAGCATAACCTTGTAACAGCAAGTAGTTACCTTTTACAGGAGCAGGTCAAAGCGGGACTTAAGGGTGTCTAGCTCATTTATATATGTAAGGAATGCTCAATATTTGCTTTATTTAAAACAGGAGCACAAGAGAAATTCTATTTAGAAGTTCCAGGTGCATGTGAAGTGTTCAGCAAGGGCAGACAGCCGAAACATGAGTCTGTAGTCCATGGTTTCTACCCCTGACCTGTCAGGCTGTCTTATTTTGTTTTTTAAGATACTGCTAACCTTGTTTGTGCTTGCAATTATTTTTATTATTCCCAAATGCTACTCTATGGAAATAAAGTTACTGATTTTGAAAGACAGAAAGTTCAAGTTGCTTTGTTTTCTTTTATATCACCTCCCCTTTTTAAGACACATTTTCATTTTAAAAGAGGACCCCTGTTAGGCAGAGCCGCGCTGGGCCTACCTCAGAGAATTTAAGCCAAGTTAAGATCTTGGGAGTTCTTTCTTCGGGAGTGGGTAGTTCTGCATTATTTCAAAGAATCTGCCACAAATCTATAGTCCCTTAGCCAAAGGCACACCTAACGTGAAGATCTGCAAACGGTTCTAGCGACACGGGCACCTCCGTGGCGGGAAGCCCGGGCGCGAGCGCGCTGGGCCGGAGGGCGCGATCCCAGTAGGACCCGAGCCCACGGGGTGGGCCTCCACCTCCGCCCAGCGGCGGGAAAGCCCCGGAAGCGGGTTTCCGCGGGAAGGCAGCTTTCGGGCCTGACGGGAAACGTGTCCACGAAGCAGAAATGTCCCCAGGGCCTTCCTTCAGCTACTAGCCGCCAGGCCGCCGGGCAGGCGCCGTCAGGATGAGCGCGCTGGCTCGTTCTCATTTCCTTCTGTGCTTTCTCAGAAATTTAGGCCGCGCCCGCCCGCGCCTGTCTTTCCACGATCAGACAAGTGTACGTCAGGGTTGCTTATTTTGGGTATGTTTTTTTAGACTAAAGCACCGAATCCGCTAGGCCTGCGGAGTCGCCCGCCCCCTCAGCCTCAAAACCAGGACCTAAAAGGGCAACCCGTGTGGGCGGCAGCGTAACCGTCTGAAAAACCGAAGGCTAGAGGGTGTGCCAGGGGCCCAGGTGCAGACGGTGTGGCAAGTAACGGCTTTGGCCGGTCCCGCCCTCCTCGCTCCGCCCATTGTAGGTCCCCCGGGTCTGTAACCAGCTCCCCGGCCGCTTCCTCTTTAAAGGCGGAGCCCGGCACGAATCTCGCGAGATCCGGGTTGGCGCCGTGACCTCCATGTGGGAGCCACAGCTCTATAAGTAAACACTCCGCGCGGCGCAGATATGGCTTCTTCCTATTTGTAAGGCGGAGGCTGCGGTAGCGCCTCGGGCTGGTTCCGGTTTTTGCCTCCTCGGCTCTGCTGGGCGGGTGCGCGGTCTGGGAGTCGCCGCCGCCTGTCCGGCCTGGCGTCCAGTCGCTCTTGCTCTCCCGTGTGCGCGCGCTCGCCTGCTCGTCCGCCCGCCGCGGAGATCCCGAGCCGCCGCGAAGCGGCTCGGGCCAGGCGGGGCGCAGCGCCCCGAGCAGAGGGGGAGACAAAGGGGGCCACCCCCCCCGCTCCCGTGCCAAGATGTGGATCCAGGTTCGCACCATCGACGGCTCCCAGACACGCACCATCGAGGACGTTTCTCGCAAAGCTACGATCGAGGAGCTGCGCGAGCGGGTTTGGGCGCTATTCGACGTGCGGCCCGAGTGCCAGCGCCTTTTCTACCGGGGCAAGCAGGTGAGGCGCGCCCGCCGCGCCCCTGGGGGACTCAGCAAGGGAGCAGCCTGGCTCCCCTGGGCGCGTGGGCCGGGGGGGCTTGGCGTGCGGCACGCGCAGAGCGCACCTGGCCCCCACCTCTGGTGGGCAGCCCTGCGCGGCGCTGGGTGCGGGGCCCGGGCCTGTTGCGGGGTGGGGATGGCGGTGGGCTGCGACGTCCCTACCAACCCGACCGTAGGTACGCCTAGCGGAGTGGGAAGAGACCTCGCCGTTGTTTTCTTGTGGCGCAGCGGCCGCGGGCACAGCCTGCCAGGTCCCTGGGTGCCTCGCTTCCCGCGCTCGGCGGAGCCTGGGGCCCCGGGAGGGTGGGGAGGGCAGCTGGCTCTGGCCGCCATGCCACCGGGCGGGAGGGGTGCGTTGACTGCCCGGGCTCCCCCTGCTCGTGGCCGCGCCGACCCGGCTAAGGGCTCACATCGCTTCCGAGGCTCTTCCGCGTCCCTGACTCCCAAGTAGGAGGTGGAAACTCGAGCGTTGGTCTCTCGAGCACCGGAACGTTGGCCCTGCCTCCTCACTGTGGCAGGATTTGCACACGCTGGGGATTCGAAGGGCTTCCAGAACGTTTGGATCCCCTCCCTCACCTCTCCTAGATCTGGAAATCTTGCCTTAGCCGAGGTTAGAGACCTGAGCTGAAGGGGCTATTGATGTAACGTGGGACCGGGTTAAAAACTGCCCTGTATAGTTTAGGGGTTTTATTTCCAAAGTAGAAAGGGGTATAAGATTGTTTTGGCTGTTCTTGCCTCGGAAGATCGCCCTTAAATCAAGCTTTTAACACAGCACCGCAGCATAGCCGGAGGTAACTTGAAGGCTAAAAGCAGTTTTGGCCTTGGGGTGTTTGTGGGAGTCTGGGGTAGTTGTGTGGTATGGCCCTGGGCTGGCAAGCTTAAGAGGTTTCCTATCCCACAGGTTTCCTAGACTGTACCTAGACACAGAGCCATCCGATTATTTTTGTCTTTGTCTTTGTCTTTTTATGGTGTTGTTAACCCACGAAGAAGTTGGCATGTTGCAGTCGAGAGACCACAGTTTGACTCGAGTCTTGTGGTTTACAATAAATGTAGCTCTCTCTGATTCCGTTGAAGCAAGCTACTGCGGCAAAGCCTACTGCCCTTCCAAGACTTTCCCGAAATTTCAGAGTAAAAAATTACACTCTGGCAAAGAGTTTCTTCTTAAAGAAATGTTGTAATACCTTTTGATTTGTGTTTGCAACCAGTTTTATACTGTTTTCTTAGTAGTTGCGACTCGTAAAAACAAGTGGTCAATTTAGTTGTAAGCTTTGCCTTTGAAATAGTTCTACTAAATACTGTGTATCTTTTTATTGCTGTGTGCAAGTGGCTGATAACATTTCCTTTAGGTCACAGGTGAAAAGTATGTAATCCAGTCTTACAGATTTTGTTTTCTAGCAGTAATACTTACAGACAGTGGTACATGAATTTCTAGATAGTTCGCTTACTTCAGCACCAGAGATAAAAATAAAGGATGAGCATGTATCCCTGGGCCACGCCTCTAAAGTCTAATTATAAAATATTAAAATAAAGTGTACCTGACTGTTCTCTGGAAACTGTAGGAATTGAGTTAAATTTAGGGCAATGAAGTAGACTTCAGTAAATCAGGAAGCTGGTTCCAGAATCTAGGGAAAACTGTTGAGGATAATAACCTTTGTACTTCTTTCTCTAGGACAGTCGCTAAGTCACTACTATGATTTCTTCAGCCCAGTAATAAGCCAGTAGGGATAAGGAATGGAACTTTGGTGCCTGCTTTTTTTTTTTTTTTTTTAAAGATTTTATTTATTTGACAGGTAGAGTTACAGACAGTGAGAGAGAGAGAGAGAGAGAAAGAGAAAGAGAAAGGTCTTCCTTTTCCGTTGGTTCATCCCCCAAATGGCCGCCACGGCTGGAACTATGCTAATCCGAAGCCAGAAGCCAGGTGCCTCCTCCTGGTCTCTCCCATGTGGGGAGCAACCGGACTAGACTAAGTTACTGGAATTAAGACTTATTCTGTGCATCTGCTCTCCCACAATATGGCGCTGGGAGAGAAGTAAACAGCTTCCGCACAGCTGCCTCCAGTTCAACCAATTAACTGTAGGACTTGCTCCTGATTGGAGAGCAGCGTACTCGGCGTGTGGGCAGCCGAGTTAGGATTGGCGGAGGAGGACTATAAAGGAGGAGAGAGACGGCATGCACCAGGAACATCTATGGGGAACATCTAGCTGAAAGAACACCCGTGCAGCCCCCGAGAAAGCCGGCCGGCGGTGTGCCGCTCCCCTGCGGAAGTGGGGAATGCGGCCAGGGGGAACTGCCCTTCCACGGAGGTGGAAGGGATAGTAGCCAACCCGGGAAGAACCAGCAGCAAACCCGGGGAGGGCCGAGCAGACGAAAGAACAGCGCAGGGTCCTGTGTTGCTCCTCCACGAAGAGGGGGAGCGACATAATGGTGCCGTGACTCGGATATGAAGCCTAGGCAGGGTTTAGTGTCGTTCCTCCACGAAGAGGGGGAGCGACACTCCCATGCGGGTGCAGGGACCCAAGCACTTGGGCCATCCTCCACTGCCTTCCCAGGCCACAGCAGAGAGCTGGACTGGAAAAGGAGCAGCTGAGACTAGAACCCGGCACCCATCTGGGATGCTGGCACCGCAGCAGAGGATTAACCAAGTGAGCCATGTAGCCAGGCCCTGGTGCCTGCCATTGACTTGGAGACAGAAAAGGAAGACACTGCTTCCAGCTGGGTTTCCTTCCATATAGGCTGATAAGTGGCCATGGCACTGGTTAGAGCACCACAGTCTTTGGACAGGGTATTATGGGCATAGCAATTAGCTGTTGGTTTTGTATCCCAAGGCTATTTCTATCCTGTAAAATGCCTTCATTTCCGTTATAAAAAAGATACCCCTTCCTCGGGATGCTTTACTACCACATAGTGAAAAATGTCATAAATAAAACAAACTTACAGGGTTTACAATTTAGGTGGTACCCAACTTCCCCCACTTATTTAATGCTTGCTGCTTTTAATGTTTGGTGTGTATCAGTATCACTTGTGGATATCTATTATAGCTGCTCACCTCACCCCAGAATTGCACATACATAGTTGGAATTTAACCAGACCCCGCAGGAGATCTGATGGACATCAAGTTTGAAAATAAATGTTGAAGGATAGTTGGTCTCTCAGTTTGTTACTATTCGAAGTATAGTCCCTGGATTCTCAGGATCAGCAGCATTAGCTTCACTTGGGAGCCTCACATGATGCCTGCTGAAGTGAAATCTGTATTTTTAACAAGATCTCTTGGTGATCTGTATGCAAATTAAATTTGAGAAGCAGCACAGTTGACTCTATCAGGACCAAAATGGAGAATGGCAATTCAGGACTGTAAGTTCTGGTTAGAGTAGGGTAACCTCATTTGGACATTCCTATCTGGAAGGTTGAGATTGCAGCATCTCTGGGCATTGAGTCTTTTAAAGGAAGAGTTATGTTGCTGGATTTCTCAATCTTCTGAGACTTTAGAGCACGTGTTATTATTTATTTGAGAGGCAGGGTTACAGAGAGAGAGAGGGAGAGACAGAGAGAAGTCTTCCATCCACTGGTTCGCTCCCTGAATGGCCATAGTGACTGGGGCTGGGCAAGGCCAAAGTCAGGAGCTAGGAGCTTCTTCCAGGTCTCCCATTCAGGTGCAGGGGCCCAAGCTCTTGGGCCATCCTCCGTTGCTTTCCTAGGCACATTAACAGGGAGCTGGATTGAAAGTGGAGCAGCTGGGGCTTGAACTGGTGTCCATATGGGGTGCTGGTGCTGTAGGCCAGGACACTAAGCCACTGCACCACAGCACTGGCCCTGAACATGTATTATTTTGAAAGGATTCTGTCTCCCCTTTTTCATTCTTTATAATCAGAATAGGGATAGTATTAAAATAGGTTGTAGATGTGGGGCATGAACCATAGCTGGAGAAACAGTAGTTGCTTTTTGCCCCAGTACATATTGTTTTCACATACACTACAGAAGTATATATGCCTGCTAAAGAAACATGTGTATATTTATATATGATGTGACAGACATATGGCATTATTAATTATTGTCCTCTACTTACGTCCCTTGTCAGTAGTCCTTTGGGAAAAGCTTCCCTACTGTTTGCCTATTGACATTTGGTATTTGCTTTCTACTTTTCCCTTGCATTGCAGTTGCCGTTTTTCCCGTTACATGTCTTCAACCTAGTAGAAATTCAAGAGTGCTGTCTGACAAAGCAAAGAATTCTTAATCATTCCTGCTTCTTCAGAATTGTAAATCCTGCATCCCTATCTTTCTAGTGTGGCATTTCTCAAACATTTATTTTTGAAACATTGATGGATTATAGTTCATGCTTCAAATTCATGGCTGTTCATAATTTCTAGATGACCCCATCCTTCTCTTGGAGCATAATTTGAATGACAGGTAACTGTCAGTCTGCACTTCCATTAAATCTGGAAGAACAGTAGTACTATTCAAGTAAATCATTCCATTACTCTTTTTTTTTTTTTTTTTTTTGATAGGCAGAGTGGACAGTGAGAGAGAGAGACAGAGAGAGAAAGGTCTTCCTTTGCCGTTGGTTCACCCTCCAATGGCCGCCGCTGCAGCCGGCGCACCGCGCTGATCCGATGGCAGGAGCCAGGATCCAGGTGCTTTTCCTGGTCTCCCATGGGGTGCAGGGCCCAAGCACCTGGGCCATCCTCCACTGCACTCCCTGGCCATAGCAGAGAGCTGGCCTGGAAGAGGGGCAACCGGGACAGAATCCGGCGCCCTGACCGGGACTAGAACCCGGTATGCCGGCGCCGCAAGGTGGAGGATTAGCCTATTGAGCCACGGCGCCGGCTCTCCATTACTCTTCACAGTGTTTGAAGCTTTGTATAATAAAGCTGTGTGGAATTTGTTGTGCAGTAATAATCAGTGTTTTAGGAAGACTGGAAGAGTACCAATGAATTAAGAGAAGGAACGGAGTGTATTTTCTGG